TCGCAGCTCTGGTAGAGCAGCCCCATGGGACTGCACAACCCTGGCCAGACGTCGCCAACAACTCGACGGACCGAAGCGCCGCCGAAGCAAAACTGTACCAGAGGAGACGAAAGCAAACAGCTCTTCCTGCAGCCTCACTGTCCGACTGTCCCTCCGAAACATCTGGTAACGTCAGGACCGAGAGCGGGGTCATGGGTCAGCCAACGGCGGCTCGTGGACGGGCGTTTCAGGGATCCGACGCAGTACCGCCCGGGCGTTCTCCCGCTGCAGAGAGATCGCCAGGGCTTGGTACAAGCGGTCAGATTCCTGAGACACCGGTTCCCCTGTCCGCAAAGCCAGCGCCGCAGCCAACTCTTTCCAGGTCCGTACTGCGGAAGGGGCCCAGCCACCGCTAGCCTCCACAACCAGCGGGATGAATTGAAGCCCCTGAGCCTCGCAAACCGCCCTGGTGTTCAGATGAGAGGATTTGCGGGCTTCATAGTCCGCGGCTGGGCGGTCCGCAGCCACAGCAACAGCCGCATGGCGGCCTGGACGAAGCCCCACCGTCACTGCCAGGTCAAAGGCCGCCGGCCCGTGCATGCCCCAGCTAGGGACCCAAACATCGGCAGGTCGCCTAGCACAGGTGGAGCGGACACCATCTTCCGGGAAGCCAGCATCGTCCAAGCGGGGCGGCAGCAGCCCAGGCTTCTCAAGCTCGGGGCTGAGGCCAGCGCGGCCTGCGCCCGCACGGCTAGCAAGGAACGGAGGCGATTGTGGCGCTTGGTGCGGTCGCCGCCGCAGGGACAAGCCCGAGCATGCTCACCATACAAATCCGCCACACCGTCGCAAAGAGGGCATGCCGACTCCGAGGTGGCGACTGGCAGTCGCAGCCGCATCTGCACCATCACTCTGAAAAGGCCAGCCTCAACATGGAGGCCAAGCGCTTCGCTCGGAGGGGCATGCAGCCAGGCTCCCGCGTGCGGCTGCTGAAGCAGCTGGAGGTGAGCGCGGTAAGCCTCACGGCCTGGGGCAGGGGCTCCGAGCTGAGCGAGCAGAGCACGGTCAAGCGCCTGGGACAACGACTGCTGTCTGACAGTGGGTGGCGCAGGGACCGGAACTCTATCCGCTGGCAGGAGGGTTGCATTCAA